GATGCGGGGCTCGATCCAGGACCCTGGGATCATGACCTGAGCTGAAGGCAGACGCTTAACGACTGAGCCACCCAGGCGCCCCGAAGTATTATGCTTTTGAAATGCTTCTAAAAATGTTTTATCTCCTAATGCAGCAACTTCAAATAAAGTTTTTCCCAGGATTTGGTGGAAAACTTGGTCCTGGGAGAATAGAAGTGAGGTGTTTACTATCATGACTGAGCTGAATTTCAGTCGTGCCCTCTTCCATTCCTTGTCCCGTAGGCCCTCAGTACACCTCTTCGAAAACCTCCTCTTCCCGAGCAGTGAGAGTTGGCAACAAGGGCCATTTAACCCTTGGATCCATGAACACAGAACCTGGGGCTTTGGAATTTACAAAAGAGGTCAATAAAATGTTGCAAGCCTGGAAGGAATTACTGAATGAAAAATCTAAAGCTATTAATACTAATATCAATAAATATTGAAGCTTTTACAGAAAGAAACATGTCTAACCATCCACTGCAATTCATTTCAACTCACACAATTTTATGCAAATATTCTCAAATGTGGGCTGTAGCGTATCTGATATAATGTGAGAGATGAAGGGCTTCCAAGGCCAGAGTGCATGGAACCAGTAGAGGCCTTCTAGCACCCTTGCTGGTAGCTCAGCCTTTTCCCTTTAGCTTTACTAGCAGTCCTGAAATCAGGCTACCCAGCCCCCTCTGCTTGCAAACAATGGTGACCCCAGAAGAGATGAGTGAACATCTCTCCTGAACCAGCCTGTGCTACTAGACCAAGCCTGAGGGTGAAAGGTATCCTTCAGTCCCAAAGTGAAAACCGCTCAACAGAACAGCATTTTCAAGGAAGGAAGTCAATGCTCCATAGAGGCAATGACTGGTTTGAGAGAAGAGGAGAAATACAAGATTAATCTTTTGATCTGTCAAATGAAAGACATGTTCTCAAGTGAATAGATGCAATACACAGGGACTTTATTACTGAGCTTAGGGAAGGAAAATAAAACACACAAATTAAAAAAAAATTTTTTAACCTTCTGAATACATGACTAGCGCTTCTCTCAGCACCTGAGAAAGTGCCCTTGCAAATGATGGCCCCTGGAGCTGAAGCTTTAGCAGCTTCATGGTCTGTTCACCTCTGCATCCATCAATCCATTTGTTCATCATACGCTTATTGATCATCTAAACTGGGGGCGGGGACAGGGAAGAAAATATCATTGCCCACAGTTCTGGTGTGCTGTTGCTGTTGTAGATAAAGTATCTTTCATGTTTGTTTCATGAGTCTGTCTTTGCACAAGTGCTACACTGTAGATTTACAGTAACTTTTGAAACTTGCATGTAAATATTCTCACCTTGTTTTATTCCAAGATTGTATCGGCTACTTTTTGCTTTTCCGCATAAGCTTTAGAATTAGCTTATTCATTTCATAGAAAATCCTGTTGAGGGCGCCTGGGTGGCTCAGTTGGTTAAGCGACTGCCTTCGGCTCAGGTCATGATCCTGGAGTGCCAGGATCGAGTCCCACATACGGCTTCCTGCTCAGCAGGGAGTCTGCTTCTCCCTCTGACCCTCTTCCCTCTCGTGCTTTCTATCTCTCATTCTCTCTCTCTCTCAAATAAATAAAATCTTTAAAAAAAAGAAAAAGAAAATCCTGTTGATATTTTTACTTTATTGTATACAGTGTATAGAGCAATTTGGGGAGAATTAACATCTTTACAATTGAGTCTTTCAATTATCAAATATACTGTATTTCCCATTTATTTGTCTAAATTTTTGCCAATAATGTATATATATGTACATGTATATATACTTGTTTTATTTAGAAATCTTTAATATTAAGGCATTATACCTTTTTAAAATGAATTATTTATTTTAAAGAATTTTATTTTTTGTCAGAGAGAGAGAGAACACAAGCAGGGAGAGCGGCAGGCAGAGGAAGAAGCAGGCTCCCCGCGGAGCAGGGAGCCCGACGTGGGACTGCATCCCAGGACCCTGGGATCATGACCTGAGCTGAAGGCAGATGCTTAACCAACTGAGCCACCCATGCATCTCTATACCTTTTTTTAAGACATTTTATTTTTAAGTAGTCTCTACACCAAATATGGGGCTCAAACTCAACCCCGAGATCAAGAGTCACACGTTCCACCAACTGAGCCAGCCAGCCAGGTGCCCTGGCATTACACATTTTTTAAGAAAAGTATTATTTAAAGAAATTATATATGGTAACAAAAAAAATGAAGGATCAGTACTTACCAATGTTTTGTTTACCTGAAATGCTATTTCAGTTGTAAAAACATCTCCTGTAACAAAAAATAATCAAAACCTTTACTGGATTTAACCCTTTATTTTAAAGCCCTAAATATTTTTTTCACTTCTTTTCTTAAAGATTTTATTGGGGGGGTAGAGCATGGGCTGGGGGGCAGGGGCAGAGAGAGAAGGAGAGAGAGAATCCCAAGCAGGCTCTGTGCTGAGCCCGAAGCCTGTCGTAGGGCTCCATCCCATGACCCTGAGATCATGACCTTGAGCCTCTGATACCAAGAGTTGGAGGTTTAACTGACTGAGCCACCCAGGCGCCCCTAAAGTCCTAAATCTTAAGGTAAAGAATATTTTGGATGGAAAATATGCTAATTTTAAAAGTTTGGTATACTATTTCTATGGTTTATTAACATATATTATGTACATGTAGATGGTCCTTTTTATAGTAAACCTGGCTAGGTTAATCACTTATACTAAGCATTGTAAAATAAAGGTAAGAGCAAAATGTTTTCAGCAAAATACTCTGTATGAAAGAACTGTAGGGGCGCCTGGGTGGCTCAGTCCTTAAGCATCTGCCTTCAGCTCAGGTCATGATCTCATGGGATCGAGCCCCGCCTCGGGCTCCCTGCTCAGCGGGAGGCCTGCTTCTCCCTCTCCCACTCGCCCTGCTTGTGTTCCCTCTCTCTCGGTCAAATAAATGGGTGAAATCTTTAAAAAAAAAAGAAAAAGAAAAGAAAGAACTGTAAGTATCAAAGATATTTATTACTAGTTGTTACTAGTAACAATTGTGTCCCCCACCTTCCCCAAATTCATGTTGAAGCCTAATTTCCAATTTCACTGTGGAGACAGCATTTAAGGAGATAATTAAGGTTAAATGAGGTCATAATGAATAAGGAAAGGGTTAAGGTATAGGCAGGGAAAGGTAGGGGACCCCTGGTTGGGCTCTGAGACTATTCCTGGCAGGCAGAAGCACTAAGCCAGAGTGAACAAGAAAGAAGGAAACAGACCACCTGGCCTCGGATGGTAGGGAGTATTTTTTCTTTGGCAGCTACAGTGTAATCACAGAAAACGACCAAACTTCAAAGCAGTCAGTCACGAAAGGCATTATCAAGAGTCCGTGCTCAAACCAAGATGGCATAAGAATCTCAAGGCCACAAGCTTCCCAGCTGGTTTTCAAGAAAAGACTGCCCCTAAAAGCCCTCAGTGGCAACCCATCTGGGACCCCTCTCACTCTAGACAGCTACTTTGCTTTCTGCTCTCACCATCACTTAATAAACTTTCATTTCACTTCACCCTTTTGTGTCCGCAAGATTCTTTCTCTGACTTTGTGAGACCAGAACTCTGCGATCCTGTAACAGTAAGGATGAGTTCCTAAAACCAATAGGACCAGTGTCCTTATAAGAAGAGGAAGAGACACCAGGAGGGCACACACAGAGGAAAGTCCACAGAGGACAGAGCGAGAAGGTGCCACCTGCCAGCCAGGGAGAGGGCTCACCAGAAAGCAACCCTGCTGGTACCTCCATCTTGGAGCTGTAGCCTTCCAAACTGTGAGAAAATAAGTTTCTGTCGTTTAAGCTGCTCAGGTTTCCATATGCTGTTATGGTAGCCCTAGCCCATGAATACAGTGGTTGGTAATTATCTGTGACAAAACATGTAACAAAATACCTTCACTGAATTGTCTTCCAGATTATAGCTGCCCTTTGGCATCTGAAAGGACTTCCCATAAAAATACGCTGCAGTGAAATTCACTTGATTAGTTTATATCGATTTTTTTTCCCTCCCGCCTCCTTTCATACTGGCACCATAATATTGGAAGCATTAAGTACCTGGGATTCACGCCTTCTATGAAGACACTATTTGAGTAATTTCAAATGATGCATAGCTCTTTGTGTTAAAAAGATGCTTTGTGGTCACAACTACTTCAAAAAGCCAATTATATTCAAATAGGCTGACATATCCTGCTTCAGCAATGACAGAAGCATGTTTTGAGACGTGGCTATTTATTTATTTATTTAAAGATTTTATTTGACAGAGAGAGACAGTGAGAGTGGGAACACAAGCAGGGGGAGTGGGAGAGGGAGAAGCAGACTCCCCACGGAGCAGGGAGCTGGATGCGGGGCTCGATCCCAGGACCCTGGGATCATGACCTGAGCCGAAGGCAGACACTTAATGACTGAGCCGCTCAGGTGTCCCGAGATGTGGCAATTTTTTTAGTTAGGCAAATGTTAAATGCTAAAAGATGTGACCAGTCATGCCTCTGCTTAAAGTATATAGTGCTGCAAAACTCAGATAATGATCTAATGTCTTCAGATAACATAACCAGTCTACAGTTTGGCATACTAAATCATCAAGACTTTGGGGAGCACAATTCCAAAGAAGGGAATAAATTTACCAAGTTATAAGTCTTTAATATAGTAAAGTCATACTTTTGTTGGAGTCATACTACTTTCAAGATAATTTTCAGTCGATAAGTATGATTTAAGTACCAAGTCAAAACAACGTAGATTCTGATGATGGATTTATAATATTGCAAACAGTACCCAGAAATTCATATGGCTTTTAAAAGAACGTATTTCGCCACTTAAATTTCCTCGTGCAAGTCGTTGAAGTTTAACACAGAAGAGCAATTGCGTGTATATAAAATGTGGCTCTTTTTTATTCTGGGGTTGGTCCGAACCCAGATAGAGTTTCAATGCACAAAAAGCTTCAAAATTCTATCTTAAGGAGATTCAACAACCTTTAAAATTTTTTTTTCCAACTATTACTTTATTTATATTACTATGCTTAAGTTACATGGAAAAGACAACCAAGCAGTTCTGCCCCATTTCAGGAAAAGTTTCCAATCAACACCAATTATGTGGTGACAGAGAACTAGGAACGGTGACATCTTTGGGTCATGACTGACAAGGAACGATGGGCTCTGGTGCTACGGTTCATCTCCAACAAGAATATGGCACAGCGGCCAGCACAAGCCATACTAACACTGAACCTTTAGCGCTGGTCACAAAGTCGGGTCTCTTCCCTGAAGCTAGCAAATCAAGTGAAATAACTGGGTTTAAAAAACATTTTTTTAAATGAAGCCCAAATAAGTTTAAAAACCATGCTCTTGACACATTTTCCTTTCAAAATTTACATAAAACACACTTTTTCACTCTAACAGCCCAGATTTTTTTTTTCTCACATAGCCCATCATGTAGCTGCAGATAGACTATTCTGCCTCAAGATGTAAACATAGGGAAAAAAAAATTAACGGCATCTGCATAATATTCTCTCTACACACTGCTGCTGGATGGAAAATTGAAAATTAAAAAAAAAAAGAAAGAAAGAAAGGTTCCATCTTAGATTCTCACAACTTCTTGTTCCGCAGTTCATGAATCCGACCCTGATGCTAAGGTGACAGTGTATGTAAGTAGATTTTTGTTTTCAGTGAAGGAGACCTGGGAAAAGATGGGAGTTATCTCTTTTTCTTCAAGAGTTATCAGATGGTACGTGCTCCTCGAAGCCCTCACTCTCTCGTACTAGAGCGCGTTCCAGGATCACACGGCCTTCCTTATAGCGCTGGCTGTCTTCAGTGGCGAACTCATAGATCCATCCCAGTTTGCTATTGCAGTTCTTGCAGCTCACGTCTCGAACCATGTGGCGGCCAGTGAGCATGACCCGGTCTTGAACTTCACTGTACTGCAGGTTAACTACCTTGTTAAAAAGAAATGCTCTGCCAGTGGCGCCTGTGAACCGTGTGGAGATGAGCTCTGAGCGGTTGGTCAGGATTGTATCGCAGTTTGCACAAGAAAACAGACGGGTACCACCGATATGATCGAGGAAAATTCTGCCCATTTTTATAGCTGAAGTTCTAAAAACCCCGAGCGGTTGTGAGATCCGCGGCCGCCAGCGGCTCTTCGCTCCTCAGCTGGGATGAAGCCCCTCGGCCACCCGAGTCTCCAGCCAACCTTTAAAATTTTTTCCCCAATAATATTTTATAGCTCTTTTGCCCAGAGGACTTGCACATTCATTCCTAAGAATGTGATACTTTTTCACATTATAAATGGTGACTGTAGCAGGCAGAATATTGGTCCACCAGAGATGGTCATATCCTAAATCCTCCCTAAATCTGTGACTCTGACATGTTACATGACAAGGGACATGAGCTTTGCAGATGAAGATTAAGGCTGCTAATCAGACCATCTTAAAGCAGAGAGATTATCTAGGTGGGCCCAATCTACTAGCTTAACAGCTAAAGACCGAGGCAGAAGAGTGGATCAAAGGGATGCTACATGAGGATTCGACCTCTTTGCTGGCTCTGAAGATGGAGGAAGGGGACCACAAGCCAAGGAATGCAGTAGCCTCTAGAAGTTGGGAATGACCTTGAGTTTACATCCAGCAAGAAAAGAGCTCTGCAACCATGAGGAAGTGAATTGTTCCAACAAAGCCAAATGAGCAGGAGGCAGATTCTCCTAGAACCTCCAGAAAAGAGTGCAGCCCTGAGGATATCTTGATCTTAGCCTTGGGGCCCACACTTTTGAAGACACTATGACACAGAGTTTGACTATTACCCACATGCAGGGTAACCCACGGCACGAATTTTAAACAGGGTGATGTGATGTGACCAATTCTGCAGCTGTGGGAGAAGACTGGAGAAGGGTGAGTAGTGGCAGGAGGAAGACTGGTGTAGTTAGAGAGGATGATGTCTGAGACCATGACAGAGAGAGGCAGAGGTGGACAGATTCCAGATGATTGACCGGAGGTGGAGTTGATGGGTTTGCTAAGGGACTAGATGTAGAGGGATGGCGGCAGCAACAGTGGATGGTTCCCAGGTTTCTGATTTGAACTCTGTGAATGTGATAGCACTGGCAGAAATGAGAAAGCTTGGGCGGGTGACGCACTTTGAGGTGTGTGTGGCTGACTAAAACATTGTTAAGTCAAACTTGAGATGTGAGACACCTGAATGGAGATCACAAGTAGGCAGATGCTTTCCTTTTTCAAAATTTTGTTAAGTCATCTCTTCCCCCAACATGGGGCTCAAACTCACAACCCCGAGATCAAGAATGCACGCTCTACAGACTGCACCAGCCAGGCATCCCCCGGCAGATGCATCTTTCAGCCTGGAGTTCGGGGGAGAATCTGACCTGTAACCATGCAACTGGAAGCCGTCGGTGTGTCAAGGTTATTCCAAGGCCCTGAGGATGTGAAGAGAGGCCTCAACAGTCCTGAGGACCATGGACATTTAGAAGTTGGGTGCAGTGGGAGGAGCACAGAGGAAAGCGCCCATTCCACACTTGTACTAATACGTACATATTGCATATATATATATATTTTAAGATTTTATTTGAGAGAGAGAGACACAGCGAGAGAGGGAACACAAGCAGGAGAAGTGGGAGAGGGAGAAGCAGGCTTCCCGCTGAGCAGGGAGCCCGATGTGGGGCTCGATCCCAGGACCCTGGGATCATGACCTAAGCCAAAGGCGATGCTTAACGAGTGAGCCACCCAGGCGCCCTACATATATATTTAAAGATGGGTGATTTGGGAGCATGTTTATGGTGATGATGATCCAGAACAGGAGAGACTGACACGTTAGGAGAGGGATCAGCAAAAGATCAAAATCTTCGAAACAATGTAAGGGGCAGACTGCGGGGCTCAGGTGCAGGGCGAGGCTTCGGGCAGGAGGAATGAGTGCAAATGGAGACAGGATTGCCTGGTTGGTGGAGGAATGAGGGAGCTGACGTCCGCCGCCTTCAACTTGCTCAGTGAATCATGTAAAGGGCAGAAGAAGGGTGTGGAGGGTTGAAGGCATAATGGCTGATGTGCCGAAAGAACAGCAAATGTATCAGCGAATCAAAGTAGATCCTCTGGTGACGCTGTCTGTTTGAGGCTGACAAGCATTAAAGTGAAACCAGCCCAGTTTTCCCCCCAAAGATTTTATTTATTAGAGAGCAAGTGAGCACAAGCAGGGGGGAGGGGCAGAGGGAGAAGCAGGCTTCCAGCTGAGCAGGGAGCCCAATGCGGGGCTCGAACCCAGGACCCTGGGATCATGACCCGAGCCAAAGGCAGATGCTTCACCAACTGAGCCACCCAAGCACCCAGCTGTGTGGTTTTCTTCCAGAAATAGTTACCTCTTAGGTGCAGAGAGGAGGAAGATGGAAGGGCTCACCCAGGCTTGGCGTCTTGAACGGGAAAGTGCCACCAAGGGAGAGGACACAGAGCAGAGGGTGTTCGTAAGAGAGAAACAATAAAAACAGACTCGGTGACAGCTTGGTCAGGCTACGAGCCAACTGGCGGACAGATGCACCATTTGATGAGGCCAGGGAATTAGGAATGGCGGGTATTTCAGGAGCTGAACTGGAAATGGTGTTCAGCAAGCTCTGGATTGTGTCGCCTGCAAGTCTGCCCGGTTCCCTCTGGCATCTTCAGCTCCTGCTGTGCTGACTGTGTGTGGTCAACAACTGTGGAACTGAAAGTGGCCTGGAGAATCGAGGTCTTGGTCTGATTATGACGCTCATGTCCCACCACCCCTCTGCCGCGGTCTTGGATCTCTCTGTTGGGGAATGAGGTCCACAAATGAAGTTTAGCAGCTGAAAAGCGTGCCTACTGAAAAGTGCAAATGACCAGAACTGGGGCAGAAACTCAAACTGTACACAGGCAAGACTGTTCAAAACAATTTTATTTGTTCCTCCGTCTTGTTTCTTGTGAGACAGGTGAGTTCACGTGCTCTCTCCGGGTCGGCTCTTCCTCCTTCACGTCCTCCCAAGTACAGACTGTATACATCTTTTCCCCTTTTCAGACTCTAAATTGGGGTCGTCCGCTTGACAGCTCAGCCCTCACCTTCATGGAGCTGACAAACCCGCCTCTCGAAGGCTGCTTGCCTGTCCTCCTCGAGCCACAGGGGTCTCTGGACAGCCTGCAGAGCCCAAAGCAAACTCACAGTTTCCCCGCACAATCTTCTCTTTTCCTGGACCTGCACTTGACGCACTTGACATATACAGTCTACTACCCTACCTGTCTTTTTCTTCCACAGTCCAGGACTCTTAGATATAAAAACAGTATTTGGCAAAGGCTAACATTTGTACAGTGCACTTTTTTTTTTTTTGAGGGGCAAGGCATGGAGATATTGATGAGAAAAAGTTACAAAAATAGAACTTGTACAAAAAGTACACAAGTTTATTGGGCAAGATTCACAGCACAGGCAATTACCCACTGTCAACATACATCTGTGGGTTGCTTCCTCAGAGTGCCCTTCACCCCCTCTGCTAATGGGACTCTGATTTTTCCACTGGGGTATTTACCTTCTCAGCCACTCCAGGCGTGCTGTGCCAAATCCCAGCTCCAGAGCAGAGCCCAGACTGGCTGAACAAAGTCCTATCTTCCTGGCTCCAGTGATGGTTCAGAGCTGGGCACAGGCTCTAATTTGGGCACTGGGAGCAAAACCCAGGACTTAAGCAAGAGCAATTGGAAGAGACCTTTTTTTCTTCCTCTGAAGGGGGAGCAGGTCTGCTGAAGCATGTGACTATGGGAAGGGGCCCATGTGTGTGTACGGAAGATGAAGTGGACAATGGCAAAGGGGGAGCAGAAAATCCGCCAGAAACCCCATCTTTGGTGACCACAAGTAGCTGCGTCAGTCCTTACTTGGACTTTCAGTCTTGAGAGTTCCCGGATTCCTTAGATCCACGTGGCCATTTCCCGGCACTTGCAAATCCAGAGTTCTACCCTATAAATTCACAATCCCACTGCCCCGAGAGAAACACTGTCGACATTTTGGGTTTAATTTCTCCCACACGTTTTAATGCATCCACGTACATACCACTTCCTTAATTTTCTTACTTTGACAAAACTGAAAATACTCTTCTGAAATATTTTAGTTGATAATATTGTTTACATTTTTTTATGTTGACCCAAACTATCATAATCATTTTTTTTTAAAGATTTTATTTATTTATTTGACAGAGAGATAGAGAGCACAAGTAGGCAGAGTGGCAGGCAGAGGGAGAGGGAGAAGCAGGCTCTCTGCTGAGCAGAGAGCCGGACATGGGGCTCGATCCCAGGACCCTGGGATCATGACCTGAGCCGAAGGCAGCCGCTTAACCGACTGAGCCACCCAGGCGCCCCTATCATAATCATTTTTAACTACTGGATAATATTCTATTCTAGGAATATACCATAATTTAACAGATTCCCATTAAGGAACATTCATATTTTTGTCTGCTTTTCAAATTATGAAGGTGCCATTCTTATACATGAGTTCTTTTATTTCTGGAAAGTGAAACCACTTTATCTCTATAAGTGAAATTGCTGGATCATAAAATACATTCTTAAGGCTTTGATGTATTTCAGCGGATTGTCCTCCAAAAGGAACTTTCATTCCCGTCAGCATGGGGACAGGTATGTTCGATGGATAGGAGGTGACGAAAGGTAAAATACCTGCTAAAAAGAAATATCCACTTGTTTGCTGCATATTTACTGAGTGTCTCTTATGCGTGCAACACTGTGACAGGTGCTGAGGATAAGCTGGTGGCCAGCCTCCTAGACCTGTCTCTGTATTCTTGCTTCTCCAAGTATGGCAGCTTTGGAAAAATGTCTAGCTTTGTGGGTGAATTAACTGACAGCGCACACATCATGATGTGAGATAAATGGCGTCAGAGAGAACACTCAGGAGACGGTGGAGTCCAGTCTTGGCACAGATGGTGACATCGTTGCACGGGGCGTTGCTCACCCACACCTTCCTTCCATGTTCATGTGTGGCCAGGAGCCTGGAACGCTCATGCCCCTTGCAGGGCAGCGGGGGCCACAGTTACCCAGGGCTCGGGAAGTCAGCCTTTCCGTGTGCGCTCTCAATCCTATTAACAATTTTGTAACCTAAATCCCTACATTAAATCCTTCTCTGTGTGAAACACCTAGAGTGGTTTTGCTTTCCTAATTTGATGGAATAGCCCAACATGTAAATTATCCTTGAAATTCTGTGAGGTGTGAGCTGTGCCTTAGACCCACATGGCATCTTTCCATACATCTAACAGAGCCAGATTTCTCTGGAAGCAGTGGAAGAGACTGCTGGGTTTTTGTCTTGGATTTTGTTTTTTTTCCCAGCTGGAACACCAGATGAACTCAGTGACTGCCTTTGAGAACGCATCTTGTATGCAAAATACGTAACCTTAAACACCTGACTCCTTCAGGAAGATGAGATCCGCACACGGAGGCAGGTACATGCAAATGGAAGCCAGGCTGAGAGACCAGCAGATCCACGGCCCCCTGCGAATGCTTATCTAGAACTCACATACCCTGGGCACACAGAGTGACAACTGGGAAAACAGAAAGCAAACTGGCACGCGTGCCTGACTACAACTGTCAGGGTTCCCATTTTTGGGGAGTGTGCGTGTGGTGAAATCCACAATGAAATGTTCACGGGGTGGGACTCTCCCTTCTGCTGCGAGAGGGACTTGAGATACTGCTGTTCTACAGAAACTGCCAACTGGGCTTATCTTCAATGGTCCAGCGATAGCAAATAAACTCTGGATGCTCCTCTTTCTTTGCGCGCGCACACACACTAGAGTCTGAATGGGTGAATTGCTTTGGGAGGCTCCATAATACGAAGGAGCGTAGACGTCCCCTTCCTTTGGCCATGGCCCCTTCTCTACTAAACATCAGTACTGAAAGCAGCGTCTCTGCCCCATGCACAGAAATACGACCAAACCTGGAGAGGAGGCCAGACACAGCACTGTCCCCTACCTCTTCTCCCCGCCTTCTCCCTCACTGTCGTCATGATAGAAGATGTCTCTGAACCGGAAGGCCTGCCTGGGGGTCGCGGGACTCTGGATTTCGGTGCCTGTTTTCTCCACCTTCTTCTCTAACTTTTCCTTAAGCAGAGGCAGGGTGGTCTCGTAAAGGTAGTCTATAATCTCTAAAGAAAAGAAATGTAATTTTGACATCATTTGTACAAAGCCTCCTTCCCAAGGTCAAAGGGCAGAGGGCACGGATGTGGGTGGCCCACTGCTGCCATTACTGTGTGCAGTGGTCCTGTTCTAACTGGTTTACTTGTATTCACCAGTCTCCCAGAATCCTAGGAGGAGGGCATTACTGTCAGCCCATTATTCAAATGAGGAAACCGAGGCCAAGAGGCATTATGAATCATGGCCAAGATCATGGAATTTGTAGGGGCAAACGTAGTCAGGATTCAAACCCAGTCAGGATTCAAACCCAGGCAGTGCTACTTGCTAGGTGTCAGCAGTAGTCATCACACAGTCCAGGGCAAAGCATCACCCAAACTCGTGGTTCACGAATGCTGGTGCTGGGCAGACCGCTTGAGGCTCTCCTTGAGTCTTTTAGAGAAAATCTAGCCTCTGGACGCAGCCTGGAGATTAGGATTCGGTATGTACGGGATGCGGTCCAGGTATGTATGTGTTCAACAAGTTCCCCCAGAGGACTCTGATGATCTGAGTTTGGGAATACCGAAACCACCCACAAATGGCTGCAGAGAAGGAACTGGGCATCTTAGGTTTGTTCTGGAACTGTGTGTGCACGCGTGTGCACGTCAGTGTGTGGCGTGTGTGCACATGATGGCGATCCAGGACTTCCGAAAGTCCTGTCAGGTGGGGATGAGCAGGTGATAATCTCTCCCATTCTACAACCAAAGAAACCGAGACTCCCAGAGTTAAGTTATGCATCCGAGGTCACACTCCCAGCACGTGGCACCACCTGCTGTGTTCTCAACAATTTAAATATTAGAAATACTGACCTGGAAAAGTCTTCTTCTGCCAAAAGGGAACACAGGTAGCTTTCAGCTTATAAAATTTAGTTTGAACATAGGACGGAGGAACATCACTTTAGAAAGGAAAAGATAAAAAAAAGTTAGCATCAGTTTAAAAAACCGGTCATTTCACTACTGTGTACGAAGTACGCCGACTCAGGAATCTACAGATATCAGTAACTTTCTTAATCCTGAACAGGAAACCACGGTGGCCACAAATGTGTGACAAAAATAAGACACATATGAAAAAGCTATGGTTCATTTGGGTAAAAAGAACACACACAAAAGAAAGAAAGTGAAAAGCACAAGACAGAGCCTGTTTAAGTTACAATACTAACATAAGCTGATGCTTACCTTGTACTTGGCCCTGCCCTACGGGCTTCCTTTCTAGCCACAAACAATCCACACAGCTGCTCTATGAGGGGCTACCACTCTTGTGCCTCATTCTGGAGATGGGGAAACCGAGGCACAGAGAAGTGGCCCAAGATCTTACAGCTAATAAGGGGCAGAGCTGGGACTTCAACTGGGTGGTCTGACCCCAAAACCCACACTCTTCACCACTTCACTTAGGATAAATGCGTATTTGTCACAATCCAAAGGCAGATGTCCCCTCATTTTTTATTTTGCAAAGCTAAATAAAGCAAGATGTTCATGATGTTTTGGTGAGTCAGATATATTTTCAATTTACAGTAAGTAGGACAGACACACCCAAATCTTATTGTTTTTTTAAAGTGAAAATCCCTAACTTCACTTCCTGGCCACTTTTTCTTAGATGATAAAAGCAGGACTTATTTCAATAATTAGCTAACCTAGTAGTTAAAATAATTAGTATGAATATGTTTACTCTTACTGGGTTCTCCTTCACAGCAACCACTAGCTAGGTGCTCACTGTGCGCCCGTACTGAGCTATGTGTCCTCCACGCCCGATCTCCTTAGTCCTCGTTATGGTCCTATTAAACCATTTTGTGGATGAAGAAACTGAGGCTCAGACACAAGTTAGGGAACAACGTGCCCAAGGACGGCTAAATAATGAGTACCAGGAGTCAACACCGGGTCAGTCTGACCGTAAAGGCCAAGTTCTAAGACCCCCATGCCTTCCAACTCTTCCTGCAGTGTCGTGAGTCCTGTGGGGCGTGCTGCAGACGCAAGCTAGGGTTTGGAGAAGTCACAATAATGGATCTGGACATTTTCTTTTCTTTTTTTTTTAAGACTTTATTATTTATTTATTTATTTGACAGAGAGAGAGAGAGAGAGACAGCAAGAGCAGGAACACAAGCAGGGGGAGTGGGAGAGGGAGAGGCAGGCTCCCCGCCAAGCAGGGAGCCCGATACGGGGCTTGATCCCAGGACCCTGGGATCACGACCTGAGCCGAAGACAGACGCTTAATGACTGAGCCACCGAGGCGCCCCTGGATCTGGACATTTTCAAACCAAGTAGGCATTACATCTCATTAGGTGGACATGCTTTCTTGACATTCTGCCTAAATAATTCACACAAGGGAGACTTTAAGACTCCGAAGAAACTGAACTTCTGAATTTATTATTTTTTACTGTTTTAGTTATTAAAACTTGACAATGTACGATTTCAAACAGTATTTGACTAGATACCATAATCTCCGTTTCATGAGATTTGTCAATCTTAAGTGAAACAATGTGTTCTTAAATATATTATTTTACTTAAAACCATTAAAAGCCCATTTTAATTTAAGAACTTGTGACCTGAAGCAATGTCACAAAATATACAAACATTTACTGGAAAAGTCAAATAAATAAACTTTGCTATTACAAAGGGAGGGCTTTGCAGCCATGGGTGCTTCTCAAGATGGGAGTTGGTGGGTCCAGAGCAAGGTCGCCTCTTTCAAAGTACCTGCCACCCTCACCTCTCGGGGACCCATGATTCTGAGCAGTGGGTACCCCACCTCTCACTCAGGTCACCTGGAAAAGGGAAGGGTTTGGAACCATGAGCATGTCTGGGTCATGACAAACGTCCCAGTCTCCAAGTTACAAAAACCAAACTGATTGTTCTTTGTTCCTTGTCCATGATCCCAAGGTGCAAATAACCACCAGAACCAGTTTAAACCCTTCCTCATGGACCAAGGACGGCGTCACACTTTTGGAAAGTCAGCCCGGGGGCAGCCGCCCTGCCCTACCGTCCATCTTCCAAAACTAAAAGCCAAACAACCCCCAACACCCCGCTTCTGAGAGCCCCCCAATCCCCACACCCACACCTCTCAATGATCTGCTCTGCTCACAGGGACCGTGCTTTGCGAGCAATAAATTCAGATCCTGAAAGTGGTGGCCTCTGTCTTCGGTAGCAGGGAGGGATTCAAAATGTAAGGATGTGACACAGCAAAGACACGGCAAAAGCAAAAGGAGGTAGCTCACAAACAGGAAAGTTCAACCTCACCCCCCGGGGATGAGAGATGCACAGGAAGCTGCACCGAAAGCACCAAGTACCGGGGGTGCTTAAAGAGGAACAGGATCTTTACATGGTCTCAAAATATCGCCCACGGGCCACTTCTTATCCCCAAGAGAACTGGTACTTCATCCAGTGGGGGAACGCAGCAGATGCCACTGGAGCCAAAGGATCAAAATCAGAATCATGGGCCTCACAATGTAGCATCACCTGTGTCATAATCCTGCCTAAAGTACAAGACCCGACCACGAGGAAGCACTGGACAAACTCCCAACGGAGGGTCATTCTCCAAACAAACGGCCTGTGCTCGCCCACATTTTCAACGGCATCAAAGACAAAGGCAGAAGAGCTTTACTGATCAGAAGCCAGTGAGGAGACAGGACAGACAGACAGACAGAGAGGAGCTGGAGTGGAGCTGGACTGGATGGTAAATCGGGGGGAAATGCTATAAAGGACATTCCTGGGATGAGACGTGTGGGTGGCTTAGTTGATTGAGTGTCTGCCTTCAGCTCAGGTCATGATCCCAGGGTCCTGGGATCGAGTCCAGCGTCGGGCTCCCTGCTCAGTGGGGAGCCTGCTTCTCCCTCTCCTGCCCCCCCAGTTGTGCTCTCTGACAAACAAATAAAATCTTAAAAAAAAAAAGGGCTTTAGTGGGGTAATTTGAATGTAAGCTGTGTTTTATTTTTTAAAGATTTTATTTATTTATTTGAGAGAGAGAAAGACAGCGAGAGAGGGAACACAAGCAGGGGGAGCGGGAGAGGGAGAAGCAGGCTTCCTGCAGAGCAGGGAGCCTGATGCGGGGCTCGATCCCAGGACCCTGGGGATCATGACCTGAGCCGAAGGCAGACGTTTAACGACTGAGCCACCCAGGCGCCCTGAATGTGAGCTGTGTTTTAGAGCACAGTGCTGTACCGGCGTCTGATGTCCCGAATTTGGTCATTGCACTGTGATTATGCAGGATGATGTTCTTATTTAGGGCATGCTGCCCGCCACTAACCCTCAAGCGGTTAAGGGAAACTACTCTATTCCCTTGGAATCGGGAGCAGGAGAGGGAGGGCGGATGGTAAGCAAACGTGGCAAACTTAAGAATTTATGATTTGGGGCAAAGGGTATGCGGGGTCTCTACTAGTCATTCAACCTGTTAGCTCCCTGAAGCTCTCAGGAGACTTTGCACACACTTCACTCACCCTTCCTACGTGTCTTTAGTGAGGGGTGAGGTGGAGGGAGGGTCCGATTGGCCCGCAGCACCCAGAGCGGAGGCTCCAAATACACAGGTGCACGGGGCAGTCTACACGCGAATCCGCTCAAACCTCAGACAGTCACTCCTGAGGCCATCTCTTACCTTTTCATCAGCCTCACACTGAATACACAGCCTTACCCTATGGCGCTAGCAAGGTCTTCCCAATCTATCTCGTTAGTGTCCTCCACGTTTACCTCATACAATCTACAAGAAAAAATAAACACGAAGCTTTCAAGCACAAATCAGCACAACGGACGCCTTCTCAGATTCACACATGTGAAAAGCTTGGCAGCACCAGAACGTTCACCCCCATCCCAGTTCCCTCAGGCCCAGAGAAGTTGGCATGCCAGCCCAAAGTTAGCCCAAGGTCATTAGCCATGTCACCACGGATTCTGCTGCTCAACATCTACTCTTTGGCCAGAGAGAGAAACAGTTCCAACAGCATCGCTTTCTATTTCTCTACCTTTCAATGAGGTTGATTTTGGCCTGCAGAGCATTAACTCCGCGGTACACATCCCGACCATTCGTCATCCTCTTGGTTAGGATTTCCGTCCTGCGTTCAAAGAAACAAAGAATGTACTTTAAGACTTTCAGGGGTAAAGTTTGCACTGTGATTTCCTGCCCTGTTCTCACCTACATCACACCCCTACTGAGAACTAATTTCTAACTTGTGTGACTCATCACTGCTAACATTTACCACCAGGGAGTATGCCCATTTTTTTTTTTTTTAAGTGGGAAATGATAAATAAAACAACAGAAAGGTGGTACCTGGGTGGCTCAGTCATTAAGCGTCTGCCTTTGGCTCAGGTCATGATCCCAGGGTCCTGGGATCGAGCCCCGCATCGGGCTCCCTGCTCGGCGGGAAGCCTGCTTGTCCCCCTCCCACTCCCCCTGCTTGTGTTCCCTCTCTCACTGGGTCTCTCTCTGTCAAATAAATAAACAAAATCTTAAAAAAAAAAGAAAGTTGATGGTAACTGAAACTGGATGAGGGATACAAGTTCTAAATTTGTGTGTGTGATGAAATTTCTGTAATACGAAGTTATAAAAAGAAGAGAATAAGCCCTTTAGCCGGTATTAAATGAAGCTGTAAACTCTATTTTTGATTGTTTAGAAAACAGAGGGTACGTTGGGACAGAGGGACCAGCTGTTGGAACACGAAGGGAGACGTACTACAGTCATAAATGACTCCTCTGAGGCCCACAGCTAATGGCTGAAGGGAAGGGTGACTGGAGCTCCTAACGAGAGCAGCAACCCAGCTAAAAATATTTTTTAAGTACTCATCGCAAATAGCAAAGTTTGTCATGATCTGATGGACAGATCGCTAGCTGTTACATTTCTGGATAAGGGGGATCCGTGATACACAGGCGAGGAAGCTGTTCATACCAGCAGTCAACTGTGTTCGTTCAAAATGCATCCTCTGGGGCGCCTGTGGGGCGCAGTCAGTTAAGCACCCGACTCTTGGTTTCGGCTCAAGTCGTGATCTCAGGGTCGTGAGATCAAGCTCAGGATGGAGTCGGCTTTGGACTCTCCCTCACTCTCCCTCTGACCCCCCACCATATTCTCTAATAAACAAACCTTTAGGAAAAAAAATAAACTGCATCATCTGTGGTCATTCCAATTTACATGAAGGAAATCTACATTCAGGTTTTCAGTTTCTTGCTTTTCTCTTCAAGTTAAAAAGCAGTCTCTCTTACACGTTAATCAAATTATACCGATCCTGAGGTACGGCTACTCTGCAGCATTTCCCTCTTTAAATACTGACCAGTGTTTAACAAACACTCCTTCTTTCAGTGTAAACTATAGGGGAAGAAAGGCCTCTGGTTCCTCCATGTTATATGCTTCATTCCCCAAAACATTATCTGTTCTGTGGAGTTTATGTCCCTGACTATAGTCTTCTATGAAAATAAACAAATAATTCTACAGCAGAATTGTAAGGTAACAATAAATGGTATAATTTAAGAGTCTGCTTTTAATATAAAATATACCTACTCTGGATCTCACTCTTATTTGACGCTGATGATGACCACACTCCTTTGCGCATGACGTGTGGGTCGTGAGCTGCGGGACCACCACTCCAAGGGGTCCTGTAGCAGCTGAACACCCCGCTCAGAGACCCTCCAGGGCTCGGAAAAGCCACGTCAGGCAAAGAATGCGCAGCGAGATCAGGACTGAAAATGCTTCTGTGTGACTAGCGTGTCTCCAGAAGTTCTATGGTGAGGGGCGCCTGGGTGGCTCAGTCGTTAAGCGTCTGCCTTCGGCTCAGGTCATGATCCCAGGGTCCTGGGATCGAGCCCTGCCTCGGGGTCCCTGCTCGGTGGGAAGCCTGCTTCTCCCTCTCCCACTCCCCCTGCTTGTGTTTCCTCTCTCGCTGTGTCTCTCTCTGTCAAATAAATAAAATCTTAAAAAAAAAAATGTTCTACGGTGAATACAGCTGCCTCGCGTTAGTGAGAAGAGAGGAGCCCCCGGACAAGACAGGCTCCTGGGAAGGGCAAGCTCCTGCACATCACCGTGCTTGTGATCTCTCTCCCAAAGGGGAATTTTGTGTTTTTTTTTATGTTGCAAAGAGAGAACTGTTTTGTTTTACTAAAGCCTTAGAAAGGAAGAGAGTGAAGAAACCAGAAGTCAATATTCAGTATTAAAAAGGTTCCAATTCCTTTGGAGGAAACCACACAATGAATCAGGGTTAGGTAGGTGCTATCTAAGTGCTAATGTAGATCGGATGTTGATACCGAAGTGGCTGGAACAGCTGGCCCGAGATGATCATTTCTGACACGGAAGGCTTTTGCACACGGTACTTACCCAGGTCCCTTTCCTAACCCCACTCATCTACCCACTCCAGTGACGTGTGTGGTACGGGGAGGGGGGCGGGAAGTATCTTGTTGAAATTTATGTAAGAAACCTTAAAACTTACCACTTACTTTTACACTGCATCCAATTTCTGGTTTCTACTTTGGCTTCTACTTCTACCCAAGATATGCCCTTGTAGAGTTTTTCCCTAACAATAGACAGGCAGCCTTCAGGGTTTTCTTGGAGTTTAGAATCCACCTCTTTTAACTCATGGGGAGACATTTTCTTTAGAATCACTTCTTCAACGGCCTTGATTAGTTTCTGGGTTTCCGTCTTACTCCAAGCACCATGATTTCTTGCTGTAGACACAAAAGGATGATCTTATAGTTGCTAATCTATTTGCTTTCAAGCACAATATACAAAACAAAATGACAGTGATGGATACATGTCATTACACACTTGTCCAAACCCACAGCACATGTACCACCAAAGGTGAGCCCTAATGTGAACTATGGACCCTGGAAGATGATGGATGTGCCAGTGTAGGATCACGGACTGTAACAAAGGTCCCACTCTGGGTGGGGGGGGGGGGAGGATGCTGACAATGGCAGAGGCTATATGTCGGGGCAGGGTGCATATGGGAAATCTCTGTACTTCCCTTTCAATTTTATTGTGAACTTCAAGCTGCTCTAAAAAATAAAGTCTCAAGGGACATCTGGGTGGCTCAGTCAGCTAAGCGTCCAACTCATGATTTTGGCTCAGGTCATGATCTCAGGGTCATGAGATCCAGTCCTGCGTTGGGCTCTGCACTGAGTGTGGAGTCTGCTTGAGATTCTCTCTCTCCCTCTCCCTCTGCTCCTCCCCACCCCCATTTGCCCACACGCTCTCTCTCTCAAAAAAAAATAAAATAAAATAAAGCCTTGGGATGCCTCGGTGGCTCAATTGGTTGGGCGTCTGCCTTTGGCTCAGGTCATGATTCCAGGGTCCTGGGATTGAGACCCGCATTGGGCTCCCTGCTCGGCGGGCAGCCTGCTTCTCCCTCTCCCTCTGCCTGCTGCTCCCCCCTGCTAATGTTCTCTATCTCTCTGTGTATCAAATAAAAAATAAATAAATAAATAAATAAAGCCTTAAAAAAAAAAAAAAAGATGAACCAGGCACTTTTCAGAAGACAAGAGGGCAACATCTTGATTACACAGACATACAACCATCAAACATAGCTACGTGCAAATTAAAATGGAACCACTTCTTTTTAAGAATTAATGACAGGGCGCCTGCGTAGCTCAGTTGGTTAAGAGTCTGCTTTTGGATTTGGCTCAGGTCCTGATCTCGTGGCTTGCGAGATAGAGCCCTACGTCAGGCTCTACGCTCAGCGGGAGTCTACTTGGATATTCTCTCTCCCTGCCCCACCCCTTTGTGCTCCCCCATACTCTCTCTCAAATAAATAAATCTCAAAACAAAAACAAAAACAAAAACAAAAAACTAATACCAGAAAAGTCCTTCCTTAAAGCAATGTATGTTTTTTAACTCCAAAAGTACGTTGTTCTTCTCGTTTCTGACAGTAATGTCTCTTGTATGAAACTGGGAGGTTCTCAAACACTTGATGGGGACAAAATAACCGAGTGACTTCACGTGCATCCGTAACTCTCCCCAGGAACTCCCCATGTGGCACTGAGCTGCAATGGGACCTCTGGCCTCGATGACAAAGACACCTGAACCTCAAGCTGGCCTCTGAGGGGGGCATCAACCATCTGTGGGTCATCCTCATCTAGATGGTCACGGTCAGGTTAAGTAAGAGGCCTCAAACCGGGAGCCTACAAATGTCTTTGGTTTGGCCCACAGCGTGATGATGTTACTTTTCCTCAACAATTTAGATGAATATTCAAAAATCGAGAGTTCCAAAGGAAAAAAACCAATACCTAGATTAAACCCCCCCCCCCACCGCCAAAAGCAGACTTTTGCTTTACTTCCTGGAAACCAGAAGAACCAGCCACACTGAGTCCCCACATGGCGCCAGTGGCTGGACATGGGGGCACAGAAGGCAGGGCTCCTGGGCACGCCAGGGCCACGGATGCCCAGCCGCTCTGCCCCACGTGCTGCTCTGCCATGTGACCCAGCACGGCATCCCCGTGCTGACGGTAACGTCGCCTGTGAGCTTCTTGAAGCAACTGGGGATTTTATAATGCAAGGAATATACCCAGGAAAAATTTCCTTTTTAGGAAAAAGGAGAAAAAGACACAGGAGGTTTTGGAAAAGTCCCTGCCTAACGGGCCGACTGAACTGCACCCCAGCCCGCTGCAGCCTCTGCTGTCCTCTGGTGGGGGAACCTCCTCCGCCCAGGCTCTGCTCCCCGCCAGCTTCCTAGGGTACGTACGGGTCAGGCTGGCGCCGAGAACTGCACTGCAAGTGAGGGGCCTCAGGTGCAGCCGGAATCGGTCTTGGGAATAAAGGCCCCGTGGTTTCACAAACACGTGGGAGGAGATGCCATGCATCAGTACAGAGCATGGCTCAGAAACGTGACAGCTCTCTCAGAGGACAGGCCGGCAGGGAGGCCGGCACCAGGCGGTGGGGGGCGCGTCCGCTCACCCCGGGGGGGGGCGCCAGAGACCAACACTTACGACTGCTGATCTGGGAGAACTTCAAGGCGACGGAGAGGCTGCTTCGAGCCACCACCTCGCCGATCTTTTTCCAGTCGTTCCCATGCAGGGAGTGGTAGATCTTTAACTTCTCCACGTCCCCCTCGCTGTACCTGAAAGGGAAGACGCGTTACGACTCCCAGTGAAGTACAAGATTAAAAACCCTGGATCACTGCAGCTTGCCACGGTCCTGGGAAAAGCTGCCGGGGCAGGCTGGTGCGGCCACATCCTGTCCCAGCATCTCGACTGTGGTCACCCCACAAGTCAGTCACTGCAGTCCCAGGCCAGGGGCCTGGCTCGGTTACACAGGGGCTAGAGCAAATAACTAGCTCACGCTATTCCTACCCAAACCCTAAAGGCTTTGCACCGCACGCACAAAACACCAACTCCTCCATGTGCCCCAGAGTTCAGCCCCACTGGCCCTCTTGTAGGCCTTTTTCCCCCCCGAGCCTCTGTGCTGCAGTGGAAATGGCCTTCTTCCACCCACCTGGACGGCTCCTGCAAACCCTGCAGGTGGCCCATCGTCCGCGAGGCTGATACCCGAGGGTCCAGTGCCCCGCTGCTCTCCCCCCAAGAAAACTGTGCCCACTTCACGGCACACCCCCACAGACGGGCAGTTGGACATCAAGGGGTCCCCTTGTTTACCCGTCCCTGCCTCTAGACCAGCGCCATCCAGCAGAAATGTAATATGAACCATACACGTCATCTAAACCTTGTGGTGATCACGTGAAAATGAATTTTATTTCATTTGAATGAACTTAATAAAATATTTGACTTAACCCACTATATTAAAAAACGCAACCATTTCAACACGCAGTCAGGATCCGCAAGTGTTAATGAGGTAATTTACGTTCTTTCCTTCCAACTCCAGCATGTGCATCACTCTTGTGGCGCCTCTCTACTTGGACTAAATGTATTTCAAGTGCTCCCTGGCCCCGTGAGGCTGGTGGCCACCATGATGGACAGCACGGCTCTGGAGGATACATCCTACAAGGGCTCGGATCCTGTTGGTTTTTCTACACCATGGTATCCGCAACGCTTGATAGACAACATTCAATAAATACGTGACAAATGACTTCACACAAATGCACATTTAAAGAATATACAGTGCATTCATTCCACGTAAAAACAAATGTACTAAAGAAAAGAACCAAAAAAACACTAAGTGGATCTGGAGATTAAACACAAGTGTTTAAGTGAAGGGAAAGCAATCCTTAGGGCATTCTAGAATTCCTTAATACAGGGGGCGGGGAATGGTGGTTTATGTTACTACTAACTCAACACAAGAGAAGCCCTAGCAAAATACTACCCATTCCTGATGACAGTGATTCAGAATTACTTCCAACAGTAAGAGCCTAGCACTCTCAGAAGGTCATCTACAAATGCAGAGCGTGGTGAGTAGAGACCTGTAATCCTTCACTGCTAAGAATCATGCTCTCTAGCAGTTACCTTCTCAAGGCAATCAGGGTCTTTCTGAGATTATTTATTTTTAATATTTTATTTATTTGTCCAGAGAGAGAGAGAGAGAGAGAATGCACGAGCACAAGCAGGGGGAGTGGCAGGCAGAGGGAGAGGAAGCAGGCTCCCTGCTGAGCAAGGAGCCCAATGCGGGGCTCGATCCCAGGACACCAGGATCAAGACCTGAGACGAAGGCAGATGCTTAACTGACTGAGCCACCCCGGCGTCCCTCTTTCTGAGATTTAAAACAACTTAAGGGTACCCCTGAAGCGACAGAAAGGAGGACATCAGAGAAAAAGTGAGTGCATAACAATGAGGAAACAGGTGTATTGACCTCTGACATCCCCCAGAGCCTCAAAATTCTTTGATTTTTGGCTTTCTGTGTTTTTTTTCTGGTAAGAATTCCTTAAGATAGAAAAAAATATATTCTAGGGCGCCTGGGTGGCTCAGTAGTTAAGCGTCTGCCTTCGGCTCAGGTCATGATCCCAGGGTCCTGGGATCGAGCCCCACATCGGGCTCCCTGCTCAGCGGGAAGCCTGTTTCTCCCTCTCCCACTCCCCCTGCTTGTGTTCCTGCTCTTGCTGTCTCTCTGTGTCAAATAAATAAATAAAATCTTTAAAAAAAAAAAAGAAAAAATATATTCTAAAGGCAAATGGTTACCACAAATCATGTGGTGCAAACAAACGAATGAACTTTTTTATTGGAATGACAGACTTGGCTTATTCTAAAACTTTCATTCCCACACTTTTGTCACAGGTAGAAAAATGTCACCTCAGCTGCCACCATTCATTTGCCAAAAGCTATCTTTCAAGTCCCACTTAACATGTCATCTTTAGTGCATTTCCTTAAAGCTCTGTCCACAGATGCCCAACCCCGGGGCTTAGGAAAAAGGGGAAGGTGGGTATTAGTTTGTGGGCAACCTTTTCCTCTGCTGAAGGTTTATTTCTCTTGGTCAAAAGTTAAGAAGCCAAGGTCAGGGGCGTCTGGGTGGCTCAGTCATTAAGCATCTGCCTTCAGCTCAGGTCATGGTCCCAGGGTCCTGGGATCGAGCCCCGCATTGTGCTCCCTGCTCAGCGGGAAGCCTGCTTCTCCCTCTCCCACTCCCCCTGCTTGTGTTACCGCTCTCACTGTGTCTCTCTCTGTCAAACAAATAAATAAAATCTTAAAACAAAACACAAAACAAAAAGAACCTCACCAAGGTCATATCAGTGTTTGCAGGTCAAGAGAATACACATATGTTGGTTTAAAATCATGCAGCTAACTGGAAGGCAACTGGCCCTGTCAGATTTACTAAATCTGCCTCCCAGAGTGAGATCGAATAGCTGGTCCGCTGGGCCCTGAGAGGGAGGGGCTTACACCTTCCTGCCTATCCCTCTGGCCTGGAGCAGAGTGCTTACCCAGAGCCGACCCCTGATCTATGCTGGTTTTATCTGGAATGTTGGGAACAAAATATAGTTGGGTATTTTGTTTGGGGAAAGAGGGAGAATGACCATCACTACAGGACACTCTGCATTGTCACTAATGACCCGCTCCTACGTGACCTCCTGTTAGTGCTTACCCCACCTTCAAATAGTCACTGAAAACCCAAAGAATTGGGCTGAGGGCTGAAGGGAACGTCGCATTGAAAAGGAACGTTTGAGGGGCGCCCAGTGGCTCAGTCAGTGCCTTCAGCCCAGGTCGTGATCCCCGGGTCCTGGGATCGAGCCCCGTGGCAGGCCCCCTGCTCAGCTGGGAGTCTGCTTCTACCTTCCCTCCCCGCTTGTGCCTCTCTCACTATCTCTGTCTCTCTCTCTCAAATAAATAAAATCTTAAAAAACAAAACAAAACAAAAGGAACGTCTGGGTACACAGGGAGCTCACAAATTAGCAGAGAGCAAAGAAAACTTCATGAGTAACATAAGAGAGGCCCGGCACGCTGAGGGCTAAGTATAAAGAAAGGCCAAGGATTTAGAAAGGGGAAGATCACAAACGTTTACTCAAGAGGCAGAAACCGAAATGAGCTCTGAAGACATACCACTGACAACAAATACACAGTCCACTTTTCACACACAAAAAAATCTTCAGTTTACCTCTCATCTGTTGTGGACATTCTAATTTATACTATCACAAAAACATTCTGTCTCAAGCTGCTAAGACTTTTTCTTACCTGCCTTTATAATTGTTGACATCAAACATCTTCTTTGCTCGATAGTAGACGAGTTTCCAGGGCCGGGCAATGCCCTTTCCTAAAGTCAGAAGACAGGCAGTCAGAGGGGCCCACAGGGCATGGCCTGAAATGGAGTCACAACTGGAAAGGGATCCCAGCATGGCTCCTGTTAACACCACTACCCTAGATCCTGTGTCAGGCTGGGATTTCATACATCCCATACAAAATCACCAGTTTCCTTGGAGAGCTCTAAAAACTACACGCTTAGTAAGTCAAGGCTCCAGCTTCTGGTCTACTAAATTCGAGGGAAAAAGCCCTTACAAAGCAAAGTAATGCTAACAAAATTTGAATGAAGGGGAAAGCATGCTAAGGTGGGGGACACATGCCAACGGCTCTCCATAAGATTAACAGAAGAGCTTTCTCAATGAGCAAGCCTGGCTTGCTTCCCCACTCTGAGGATGAAACAGTCCCTCGACAGGGACCCCCTAGCCTATTTCCCCTTGCACACTCCAGAGAACACCTAAGAAATCATCCTCTTTAAATTCACGGATTTTTTTCAGTCCGATCCTGTGTTGCTTCATGACTTTCTCACTTTCCAAGTACAGCTGCGGGAGGAGAGTTCCAGAGACGAAGCACAGAGAAGGCTGTACCTGGAAAACTTAGAAGACCCTGGTGCACGTAAGAATGTGCTTTGGGGCACCTGGGTGGTGCAGCTGGTCAAGCGTCCAAATCTTGATTTCAGCTCAGGTCATGTCTCAGGGTCGTGAGATTGAGCCTGGTGTCGGGCTCTGTGCTGGGCATGGAGCCTGCTTGAGGTTCTCTCTCCCTCTGGCCCTCCCCCTGTGCTCTCTCTCTCTAATAAATCAATAAAATCTTAAAAAAAAAAAAGTGCTTTGTGCGGCATATGCAAAATAACACATAACAAAGAATAAATAAAGAGAAAGCAAAATGATACCTATTACCAAGTAGGAAAGCTAGAAGTTGATCAGGTCACTTTTTATAAAATCTGTAAAAGCACTATACTTGGGAGACACAAACACATTCCAAATCCCCAAAAGTATAGGCCGGCAGCAAGAATGCTAGTAGCCATGGCAGCGGGTAACATGCACTGCACGCACTGAATGGGCCAGGCGCTGAGCTAAATACTTACCGTGGGTTCTCCCTTTAGGGTTGGAAGGCTGTGGATGGTCAAAGAGTAAACAGTTTTAAACTTACCAATGTGCAATCTAAATGCATATTTTCTTTTTAAGTCGGTGATCACAGATTTCTCCTCTGGGTATCTGTCTGTGTACAGCAGTTTGTCTGCACTCTCAATTCCTGTCAGGGATAGAAATTCTTGCACGTTTTTCTCTAACTGCTTGTTTTCCTTTACAGAAAACTTGCCAAATCTAATAGCGACACCTAGGATTTGGGCGGGGAGAAAAAATATGTATTGTCAATAAGGAAGAAAAGCAAACCTACCATCTGGTCTTCAAGTTACAAGACAGTGGCTGCCAGCTTCCCCCTGCTGGGAACAGCCCCAGCGATGTACTTGTACTTGCCGTTAGCTCCCCTGCTGTGCATGCCCCATCCCCCCAACTTCACTTCCCTTAGAATTCAGCTCAAGCCACTCTTCTCCCAAAGTCTTCCCTGGTCACCCCCTTCCAAAGTGACCTTCCCCATTTATCGCTCAACTTTTGAAAGTAGTTGTTTTTTATATTAAAAAGGAATATATGTTCATTAAAAATTCAAGCAGTATGGAAATAAACCTTTAAAAGAAGCCTCCCCTTTGCTCTCTTCTGCCTCACTACGCCCCCCACCAAGGCAATGCTGTGAATTGGCAAGAACTCAAACATTCACATATATTTTCTATGCATACGTATGTGGGGTGGGGGAGCAATGGCCTCATGCTTTACATTCTAGTCCTCTTTGTAACTCAAAGCAACCAAGTTTTATTACGTACTGACGATCTTACATACTATGTTTTTCTATTGTTAGACTTTAAGAGTATCTTTTATAAAATATAGTCATAAACATTCCCACAGAAAATACACAAATAGAATGGGACCATTCTATAGATACTGCTCTATGAATTATATTGTTCTTAATTTGGCAATTTTTTAAAACTAATCTCTTGGGGTGCCTGGGTGGCTCAGTCGGTTAAGCAGCTGCCTTCGGCTCAGGTCATGATCCCAGGGTCCTGGGATCGAGCCCCGCGTCGGGCTCCCTGCTCCTCGGCAAGCCTGCTTCTCCCTCTTCCTCCGGCTCTCCCCCTGCTTGTGAACTCTCTCTCTCTCTTTCTCTGCCAAATAGATAAATGAAATCTTTAAAAAAGTAAAAAATAAAAAAAATAAAACTAATCTCTTCTCCACGATTAACTCCCTAAGGCCCCGTATTTTGCTTTTCGCAGGGACCAGAGGTACTGGATCTCACATGGCCACTCAGTAAATATCGCTCGTTTGTACCACACAGCCTTAAATGTGTAGTTTCCTCTTCAATTCCATAAGCTTTCTGGGAGGTTCTTGTAACACAGTGAAATCAAGAAGGAGACTGTGTTGGGTCTCCTGTGAAACCAAGGCCGTTACAACCAGCTTAGCCTCCACTTACTATCTTGGGGGAAGAAGCTACAGCTCATCAGAGTTGACAATACTGGCTATTTTCATTTTATTTTATTCCTGCATCCTCCCCAAGGGCTCAGCCACTTAGCCGCCGCCTCCTCTCCTTCCACGCCTCCCCTACCAGAAGCTAGGTGGAGAAGAGCAAAACCAGGGCTCTTCATTTTGTTAATTTTATGACTCGGACAACAATTCTGGAAGGAGGAGAAGCTGAAGGCACCTAGAGGATGCTTCCTGTGAATCTAGAAATCTGCACTGCTCACAGAACAAAGGCAGGGGCTCGTTAGGCGGACAGGAAAGTTCGACAAATATTAAAGTGCCACCAGCTCACCCTGTGCTTTAAATTCCTTAAACCGCCCCAAGTCATCCCGGTACATTCGCTTGATTGTGGTGGCAGCCCTTTCCTTGATGTCCGGAATGAACTCTTGGAGCTGCCTCACAGCCGAGTCTAAATCCACATCTGAGTCACCCAAATCTCTGGAGTCTTCCGATAAATATCTTGTTTCAGAATCTTTGGCCAATTCCAAATGTCTTTCCTCTTCATTTGTAGGTTCTAACCTGCAGGGAAAATTGAGTTAACTCACATTAACCTGTCACTTGCCCTGGTGGCTTTCCAGTTCTTTTCTTAAAATGATCCTCACTTAGACTAGGCCGGCGTTAAAGCTAGGAGGGACTCTGGAGCTGATTCAGTCTGTGATGTGTGGACTGAGGTAATTTGACTAATGTATGCATACACCTCAGAGGCGGCCTACAAGGGACCCGTGTGGCCCAAAGCCCAATTTCCAGCACATGTTATTTCTTGTGTCACTACTTCTCAAGTTTTCTGGTTTTAGATACTGACCTCCTAATGGGCTAAGCCCTGTTCTGCCCCATGGACCCTCAAGACACTCCCCTCCCACCCTTCCAAGGATTTCAATTTTGTGATAATGGTTACTAATTAATTAAATCAATGTAACAATGGCCACATTCCCCCCGCCCTTTGCTTAGTTTTCTATGCATCTGTCACTAATTCATCCCCAAACTCTCTGCCAGATGTCCAAATCCCCTCTTACTGTGGTCAATCCTAACAGCTAACCACTCAGGCAGGAAACTTAAAAAAACAAATTATATCCATTAGTTCGAGGGAAGGGTCAGCAGCTTTCAGAGGGCCCACAGCCCAGTACAAGTTCAAAACCACAGCCCTCGACATGCCTGCCTCATATCAGTATTACCCCTGATGAGAGGAGGTGAGTGGGCCCCTCTTATCGATACCACCTAGAGTGGCATCCTCTCCCACGGAACTTCTTAATGAAACTATTTTAGGCCAGGACAACCTAACAAATGTAAAGTCCTAGGAACTGAGATAAAGTGGTTTTAAAAACTGCTGTATTAAAAAAAAAAAAAAAGCTGTGTTTATTACATCAGCACAGTTGACTTACACAATAATTATATAAATAATGACGTCTACACTTCTACTAGAGAGAACCCTAATTCAAGGTTTTTCCTGCTCTGTAAAAATTCTAAGTATTTAGAATTTTTCTTTCTTTCTATGTATACGCATATAGACGAACAAAGGTAACTTGGGGGGTCTTAAAATGCCCTTTTAAACTTATTCACAGAATTTCAGGGCTGGAATAGTTTTTAGTAAAAATCTGATCTAACTGCCTTATTTTATATATGATGAAAGGAAACTTCCTGCCAAGTTACTCGGTTACATGTATGCATCGTTGTGTACAATTAGCGGTCTGTCTCTCTGATCTCTGCCATTTACGACATGCGCGCTTGATAAAGAGGTCACAGGCAGAATTCACACAGAGGACATACACACCAGAAAACATGCCACTGCCACATTACCTCTGCACCTCTTCCAAACAGGCCTGGGTTTTCTCCTCCTGTGGCCTGGGTTTCGCTCTTTCTTCAATCAGGGCACCATTACCTTCCAGTGAATCAGGGTGTGTGTCCTCAAATCTCTCTGCGGGCACTGAAAAATCACCCCCAGGAGCTACGGGACTTTCAAGAGAAGACCTTCGCTTCCTTTTCTTAGACTTTTTCTTTACACGGCCGGCTTCCTTACTGCCTTCTGCAGTCCCGACCTCACCAACCCCTTGCCATCCTTCAGAGTACACGCTCTCTAGACTCTCAGGCCCAGGCAATGCCTCAAGTTCCTGATGATGTGCAATTTTTCTCTTTTTTTTCTTAGACTTTTTTTTATTGCCCGATGCTGGTAGTTGTGGGATTCCACCTCCTGGGCCCACAGAAAGCAGGGTTTCCTGCTTGTGTGGTTCTGACTTGGGCAGAGCGAGGCTTGCACGCAGGCTCTCCTGCTCAGCATCCCAGGAGGCCACTTTCCTCCGATGTTTTCTACTCTTTGTCTCCCTAACTTTACGATGCAGCTCTTCTGACTCGTTTTTATGTGACTTAGGAACTGAATGCAGTTCGTCTGCTTCAGGCTCTTTTGCTGGCTTCTGTTCCTGGCTCATGTCAACATACACGACATCGACATCCCTCCTAAAATTCTTTGGTGTGTTCTCGATATTTTCTTTATCCACCAAGACATACACCACACCTGTTTCCTCATCCATCTCTGAAGCCCTGTGTTTTTTCTTTTTTTTCTTTTTGGGTACAGAAGTGGCCTTTTTCGTCTCACCACCAATTTCTGATTTTTTCAAAGGGGAAGGAAGAAGATGCTGGCAATCCTTTCTTTTTTTCTTACTCTTGGTTACATGAGACGGCTCGCTTGCCAGGGGGGAGTCTCTGACACTTTCATGGGGATGCCTCAAATGTCCTTCTTTATATACAGAGTACTTTTTCTTTTTCTTGTCAAAAACTGGAGTGTGAATTTCCAGTCTGCTGGATTCTCCTTCCATTCTATTCCTGTGGGGAAACTTGACAACAATGGTTTATTTTGGTGAAGCATTTTAAACATCACCCTCAGAAGAGAAAAAAAAAATCACAGAAAAACGAGACTGCATAACAAATGACAAGGCTGGAGTCATGACTATAAATTTAATATTACTCTAAATGCACAGGGGGCTCACTGTAATTTACTGTCTGGTCACGCTGCCCTTATGATACGGTAAAAAAAGAGTTAACGGAGAACAGTGCCCAGCACGGTCAGGCCTTGTTCCCCTCCAGCCTCGTCGTTTGCCTCTCCCGTCCAACTTTGGGCTCTAGCCACACAACGCCTTTTTCTGGGTTCCTCAAACATGCCCCAATCCTTTCCTTGGCTCAAGGTCTTACAGCATACAATGTCCTCTTTCTAGAAGGCTCTCTGCTGCCTTCCCACCCTGGAGACCTCCGCCAAAGGCGGCCTCTGCGAGGCGAAGGCACCACCACCCACCGCTGGACTCCACGCGCGCATCAAAAAAACCCCAACAACCGAAAAGCCGAAAAGCGCTTTCAACCTACCGCCCAAAGCGCCGCCACCTTTCTTCCAATCCGGAAATGCTGCGGCGGCGGAAGCGGAAGTACCGTGCGTCGCTTCCGGCCCCGCCTCGGCGTCACGCTGCCAAGGCAACACGCCCGCCGCCGCGATTGGACGCAGGCGTAGTAGCCCATGGGGTTCGTCCCGGGGGTCCTCCGGGAGTGGGGTGAGGGTGGGGTAGAGCGTGATCCCAAAACTGAGAGAGGGCGCAGAAGTCCCCGCCTGGCCTCCTAGCTCGCGCGTGCGCGCCACTTAGTCACGTTTTTGCGGAGCTCTGTTCTGGTCCAGGAGTGAACCAGCCGGTGAGGTCCCGGACCTGAGGAAGACATAACGCATCGGGTAACCAAGATCATGTCAGGTTATCCTGCAAGGAAAGGAAAAAAGGGAAACAGTACTGTGTTGGAGAATGAGGGCAGACAGCGAGTGCCACTGTAGATGGAAGGGCAGGCTCTTCGAGGAGTAATATTTGAGCTGAGTTGTAAACGAAGACGGCGAGCAGAAATCTAGATGGAAGATTGTTCCAGGCTGGAAGCAAGGGCCGAGAACATGCACTTGGTCGCTCGAGGAACTGGAAGCCGGCCAGGGCCGCTGGAGCGGAGTGAATACAGGGGAGGGTGGTAGACGGTGAAGGCAGAGGTGGGCAGAGGCTGCTGGGTTAAGCTTACGGGAAACTAGAAGGAGCCTTGTGTTCCAATCCTCCCGTTGCAACTGCGCCCTGAAGAAACTTGGCCTATGATTCAAAGTCAACCTTTTAAGTCGAGGCCAGTATATAAACCACTCAAACTTTTAGATTCATTGAATTGTGAACATAAACATATTGGCAACCAGGTTTTTTTTCCCCCACTAAATCCTATAACAAGCCCGTGTGGGTGTTGTAGGATTATCTTTATTAGGTGTTATCAGCCGCACCCTCTGGATGAGAAAACTAAGGCTTTATGTAACTTGTACAAGGGGATTTATGTGGCCCAGGCAGGATTCAAACCTGCGCTCTCTCTACTATTCCACTATCCTGACCCTCCCTGTGATGTAGGAAAGATGTTGGGGTTCTGAGCCCACCCCAAGAAAGAATTCTTGAGGGCACCCGGGTGGCTCAGTTGGTTAAGCGACTGCCTTCGGCTCAGGTCATGATCCTGGAGTCCCGGGATCGAGTCCCGCTTCGGGCTCCCTGCTCAGCAGGGAGTCTGCTTCTCCCTCTGACCGTCTTCCCTCTCGTGCTCTCTGGCTCTCATTCTCTCTCTCTCAAATAAATAAATAAAATCTTTTTTTTTAAAAAAAGAAAGAATTCTTGAGATGTCTTTGGTGCAAAAAAAAAAAAAAGTGGTTTTTATTAAACCACAGGGACAGGACCTGTAGGCAGAAAGAGCTGCGCTGGGGTCATGAGGAGTGGCAGATTATATACTTTCAAGTTGGGAAGGGTTAGGGCTAGCGTAAGTCTCTAGGGAGTTTTGGAAGCAAAGTTTCCAGGACCTTGAGGAGGCTAGCTGCTCTTAGGAAAAGTCATTTATTACTGTCTAATAAAACTTGAGTCATGAGACCCTTCAGATGTATATGGGTGGGTCATATGCTTGGGGGATGACTGCCAACACATATCTTGGGGGGTAGAGATAAAGGAAGTTTCCAAAGGAATTTATATATGTTGAAGTAGACTTATAGGATGCTGGGGGTTGGGCTAAGATTGCCCTTTGCCCTTAGCAAAATATTAATATCGAGGCAGCTGAATTCCTAGAGGAATGTCACTCTGCCTGTTTCAAGGACTTGTCAGTGGGCTGTAGGTAATAAGGAAATTTAATTTTTTTTTGCCTTTGTTTCCCACATCACCTACACCTACCACCTGACTTCCTCTGTGTGAGCTGCCAAGCGGTTTTCATTAAAAGTGCACAACCTGGAGTGCCTGGGTGGCTCAGTTGGTTAAGTGACTGCCTTCGGCTCAGGTCATGATCCCGGAGTCCTGGGATCGAGTCCCACATCAGGCTCCCGGCTCAGAGGGGAGCCTGCTTCTCCCTCTGACCTTCTCCCCTCTCATGCTGTTTCTCTCTCTCTCTCTCTCTCTCTCTCTCTCAAATAAATAAATAAAATCTTTAAAAAAAAGTGCACAACCTGTATTTCTGTGAAAGTCTGGAAGTAAAGCAGGCTGGAGAAATCATAAGTACATATCGCATCACACACCATCACCACCCAACAGCTTCTCCAGTCTTGGATGAGCAGTTGGAAGTCTGTCTGGTCTGTTCTGGAAATGCAGTACTGGTGTTGTCCACTGTTGGTCTATAAGGCCTTGAAGTGCAAGTTTGCCGTTGGTGCAACTTGCTCTTGGTGAACCCTGTTACCCAGAGCCTTGTGGGTATTTGCACATTGAATGAAGATGATGAGGGGTGAACAAACCCACAAAAGGCTGAACTAGAAGGAACTAGAGATCATCCAGGCCAGTGGTTCCAAAAGCACTGTGCCAATCTCCTGGGAAGCTTTTAGAACATGCAGATTCCCAACTTGGCATACAGACATCAGGTGCTACTATTATGTCATACTGAGATCCATGGACATGATAATGACACTGTAGTGATGTGAGAATGTCCCCGTTATTGGCAGATAGATACATGCTGAAGCGTTTAGGGTCACATATGATGCTGTCAACAGATACTTTCAAGATGATTCTGCAATGTGTGTCTGTGCATGGTGAACCTAGGTGAAATCTATAGGGGTTTTCACTGTACTCTGTTTTCAACTATTCTATAGTTTAGAACTTTTTCAAAATTTAAAAAAAGTCCAAAGGGGAGGAAGGAGATTTTTTAAAAATACAGATTCCCAGATTCCATTTCCATATTCTAAGTCGGTGGATCTGTATTTTTCCATTTCCCTTCATTCTGTTGCACAAAGTTGGGTACCACTGATCTCATTCAACTCTAGACTCTCCTCCTCACCCATTTCACAGGAGGAAAAACCAAGGACCCAAAAGAGCGACTGATTCAAGATCACCCAAGTGGATTAGCAGTAACATCAGGCCTGGAATGCAGATCTCTATTTCGTCATGAAAAATTTAGCGCTCTAGCCCAGTGTGTGTGTGTGGGGGGGGTGTAGAGGGGAAGAGAATGGTAAGGGGCCGTGAGGGGAGTGGGGTGGGTGGAGGGAGGAATCTTTGCCTAGGAAGTCAAGTGTAGATGGCCTTCTAGAGCCCCGTTGCTTTTAACACAACCTAGTGGCGATTCTTGGTTTTTTTTCATATCTATTTAAGAAAACTCTAAGCAAGTTCACTTTGGTGGCCACCAATAGTTTCAAGAAAGAAAACCGGGCCCCTCGGCTCCGGCGCCGTTGGCGTCCCGTCGCCATGGAGACAGACGGTTCCATTCTTCCTCAAGGGGTGGTCTTGATTTTCTGTCCCTTCCTAACCCGCAGGGCGGTGCCCAGAAGTTGCTCTGAGGAACCAGAGGGGCTTATATAGGGCTTTAGAGCTCCTTAGGAGGAGGGGGCGGCGCGAGGTGGGTGCTCCCCGCTCCGGAGGGGGCCGGGCGTCTGGGGCCCACCCCGGGGCCCCGGGTGGTGCGTCCCGGGACTGGTGGTGGGGCCCCTCCGAGCTCTGCGCCCCCCTCCGCCAGCAGGGAAGCGCGCCCCAGCTAGCCAGCCCGCGGACCTCCTGCACGCAACGTCAGGATGCCAGAGACCCAGAGCTCCCGCCAGGACCCCCGGCGATGGAAGAAGCAGCCGGTGCGCCGCACGGTCAGCCAGATCTGCCCGCCACCGCGGAGGCCCCTGACCGTGGCCGACATCCGACCGGGTATGGAGAACGAGAGGCTGGGAGTCGTGCGGGATTCCATGTTTCAGAACCCGCTCATCGTCAAGGTGAGCCGCCCCCACGCCCGCCGCCCCTCGGCGCTCGCCCCCTCGCTGGGCACCCACGTTGCCGGGCCTTCCACCGCCGAGCCCCGGCCCCATGGGACCCAGCGGACCGAGCGCAGTGTTGGAAGCTCCCGCTCTGGTCCAGACAGATCTGGACCCCTGTGCGGTCTCCTGGGCAGGTCGCGTCGCCTCTCTGCGCCTCAGTTTTCTAATCCTCAAAGTGGGATGATAACGGCGCTCCTTAGAGGGAGTGATGGGGAAGGTTGAATAGGGGCCCCTGGCACAGCGGCTGACACGCGGTGAGCCCGCAGGGTTAGCTGCAGTTGTTCACCCGGGAGCCCGCCAGCGAACCCACAGGGTGACCGACAGGGAACACGCACCCAGACTATGTCCTTACTCGCCAGCTGCCAGCCCTCTCGGGGTGCCGGCTGCCTGCCCTCTTTCCCCTGCGCGCTACAATGCACGCTACGCTGCAGCAAGGGTTCTGTCCCTCTCCTGGAAGCATCACTCCACAAGTTACTTTCCGTCCAGTCATACTCTCATCCAGAATTACAGCCCAAAGAGAAAAGAGCGCGAAACTCTCTGCCCTAGGGGGCTCGCAGGCACGAAGGAGGGAGGGAGCTGCGGTTTCTTAACTAGATCGCCTTCCCATTTATTGCACGCTCCCTCCCTTCAGAGGTTTCGGGACTGGTGATCACCCAACAATGGCGTGGCATCGCCACACCTTCCCGGGGCCACAGGAAGAGTCAAGTTGAGGTTTGGCTCTCGGGGAGCAAGTTTGGTCTGGGAGCAAGTTTGTCTTGTGCCACTGGAGGGCAGTGTGCTTTCAAAAATGCACGCGGTTCCCGGGTGCCAGACGTGCAAGGCCCCGCTGGTAACCATGGATTCGGTAAAAATGTATTTGAACGCCAGGAGCTCATCAGAGCCCAGAGGTTTTCGCTGTTGTTTTGTGGGGTTTTTTTGTTTTGTTTTGTTTTTGTTTTTGTTTGGTTCAGGGAACCGGGGCTTTCTTAACATTGTGCTAGAATTAGCTGAGTTCACTACTCTTATGAAAACATGCACTCTATCCTGTTGCCTTCCCCAAACTTTGTTCCTGGTACTGGCTTATCACACTAGCACTCTTCCATTTAATGTGCTCCTTTTCTTAGCACGTCCCCCCCCCACCAAGTGGAACAAGGTCCTTTATTAATATCTAGGTGAGAAGAGCCACTCTCAGCCGACAGATGGGACAGATGGGGCTCACCATTCTGGGATCGAGGGGAGAATCAAGTCCTTCACCTCTGATCGGCCGCCGCTTTAGTGTTAGGTCATTGCATTCACTCAGGCAGGTACTAGAGGGCCAGTTCCATTCTACTTACATATAAAATAAGCCGCATTATAGAGTTATTCGTATTCTCCCCAGTAAATTAGCAGCATGGGATGCCCACCCCAAGCTATATAAGTTTGACCTTTGAACGATGTGGATTTGATCTTATGCTGGCCCATTTATATGCACATTTAAAAAAATAAATACTGTACTGCAGTACTGTAAATGTTTTTTCTCTTTGATTTTCTTTTGTTGTTGTTTTATTATATTTAAGAAATTTTAATTTAAATCCAATTAATTAACATATAATGTATTATTGGTTTCAGAGGTAGAGGTCAGTGATTCATCAGTGTTATATAATGCCAGTGCTCATTACATCATGTGCCCTCCTTAATGTCCATCTTCTTTGATTTTCTTAATAACATAATTTTTCCCTCTCGCTTACTTTATTGTAAGAATACAGTGTATAGATAACAAATATGTGTTAACTGACTGTTGGCTATAAGGCTTCTGCTCAACAGTAGGCTGATAGTAGTTAAGTTTGGGGGGAGTAAAGAGTTATAGTGGTGGGGTACTTGGCTGGTTCAGTCAGTAGAGCGTGTGACTCTTGATCTTGGGGTGGTGAGTCCAAGCCCCACGTTGGGCGTAGAGCTTACTTAAAAAAAAGTTATAGTGGAGTTTCAAGTAGTTGGGAGTCAGCACCCCTAACCCTCTGCCTTGTCCAGGGGTCAACTGTCTTTACATATACACACACATATACATACGTACATACCGATAGGTATATGCATATGTGTACACGTGCGTGTATTACACATACACGTACATTTTATATTTACAAGTACACACATACACACACATGCATATATGTATACTATATAAGTAATATACACGTATGAGTGAAAACCTCCCCTCTTTCCTGTTGCTCATCCTATATATCAAGAAGGACAATATTTGGCCTCTGGATGGCACTAGCTGAACAGCTTCCAGAATGAATTCAATTCCCCAATTCCTGAACCTGCACTTCAGGGTTGGAAGATGTGCAGATGACTGACCCACAGCCGGGAGGGGGGTTCTGTCTTCAAGGCATGAGAAGAAGAGCAGGACCGCCCTGGCCAGGTGGTGAGCCAACCTGAGCAGCAGGGGGCCGCTTTCAGGCACACTCTGGTGATGGTGCCTAGCTCTTCTCGGGTCAGGGACAGCTAGCCTTTCCTCCTTCCTTTCCTCCCTCCAGTTCTTGATGGGCTCTAAGCTCCTTTCTGTAGCAGTTAAGATTATGTTCCCATTTCAATATTTACCACCGCTACAAGATTTTCTACCAAAACCTGGCCTAACTAAAAGCTGCAGAGACATTGAGAGCAAGACAGAGCCTTGACTGTTACCTTTTCCAGACCCCTCCTTACAGATGGGTACACTGAGGCCATCTGTCGTGGGCTCTTTGCACAAGGTTGTGCCAGAGCCTGGGTCAGAAGCTACGTTCACTGGCTCACAGCCCAGCATTGTTTTCCCACTCCAAACAGCTTCCTGTATTTAAATGAAATTTAAATTATGAAAGCACTTTGGGATTTTCGGCTTTAAAGCAAAAAAGATTGGAAAGCATTCAAGATTGTGGAGCCTTTAAAAATTATTTTTTTAATATGTTGTTGGGATTCTGTTGATGCTCATCTTGTGGATTTCTTCACTGTGGTATCCTGGGGCACAAGCCCACGTTTCCAGACCCCCATGTGCGTGTGTACCTTCTCGTGTGTGGCAGAGGTGGGAGTGCCCTCTCCCAAGGGTGTCTTTAAGAGGATGCGGATGAAGTATATTTTGGTCTTGTCTAAGTCTGAACCTGAAGGTTGCATCTATATGGAAAAATCTACCACCCTAGAAATAGTCATTGATTCCACCCTATGGGGGGGGGGGTTGTTGCTCAAATTGTTTTCTCCAGTGAAGAAGATCAGGATTTGTTTAATTTAAAATGCAGACACACAGTCTGAACAAACCCAACACTGCTATTTCACACCCATGGAATTTACCAGGACGTATACACATCAGTTACTCAAGAATGTGTCTGCAAGATGCCACACAGTAACCAAGTGAAAAGTGAAAAACTCAGACATCCAAGCAGGTATTTTATCTACAAATGCTCGACAACTCCTTGCCTCATTTAAAATCAAGCCCACTGGTTATTAGTGGGACTGATCAGATCAACTGGGTGTTTAATGTGGCTGCAAAAAGAGGTAAATATTTTCCATTAGAAAGGGCTTCTACTCTATTGTATAAAGTGACGTGCAGTTAGCCGGTTTTCCTTCAAATGTGACTCTCTGGGAAGAATATAAAATTAGAGAAAGGACCAAGCTTCTTTCTGCTTGATTCCCATTCCCTCAGAATTCTGTGACTCAACATAGGATCCTGCTACAATAGCCTTCAAGGCTCCTTCAAAGAAGCTGTCAGGATGCACCCTGCCTGCCATCGAAACTCAGCTGATATCCTGTCAATACAATTATAGGGGAGAGACTGCCTGGTTTGCTCCCCTGACAGCCTTGAATCCTCCGTCACCCTGGAGAGGCAGGCAATGTACAGGGGTGGAATTTATTGAATCGAGCACCCTTAGAAAGTGCACATGATCATGGCACCCAATTTTTTTTTCATAATTTATTACTGACTTTGTTTTTCTGTGGGGGTTTGTGTCACTAAGAAATGCATGCATTTGTGAAATAGAGTTGTAAAATCACATCATTTGGGGCTGGAAGGAGGCTTACAGACATCCAGTCCATTTTTTTTTTCTTTTTGAGGATGTTAAGGCCCAGGGAGAGGAAGAGACTCATCCAAGGTGCCCTTTGACTTGGTCACAGAAGTGGGATGAGATTCATGTCTCCTGACTTCCAGCCCCGTGCTCTTCTGGTCACATTATGTAACCAATTAATTAATGACAACCCAGATTGGTTACTTCTATACGGCAGGCAGTCGAAAAATGTTCACAAAGGAATCTGATTCCAATATCATTTTCCTCAACATTCCTTCCAATGTGAGCTCTACTAATTTCCCGGGATTTGTGGACAGCCAAGAAGTGTTTATTGAATGGTTTCTATGGGCCCAGCACCATCCTAAGCTCTCTTGGGCGGTGGGGGTGGGGGATGCATAGGAACAAGTTCAGATCTCGGCCCTCACCCTGCCCACAAGCCACAAGGAGTTAACTGTTTGGCTGGGGAGACGGAGCGTATATGTATATATTGCTTAGCACAGCACCTGCCTTAAAGCAAGCTCTCAGGAAATTAGCTCTTACTGTTGCACACAAACACACACATAGGCACCCACATGCATAATAGGATAAGCAATGCCATGGGTCACTCCTTGCAAGTTTCAAGGGCAGTGCACCAGCCAGAGGGTCCAGATTTAGGGGAAGGAAGGCCTGAGCAGGACTCCATGTGCTTTATGAAGGAACAGACCTGGAACTGGACCTTGAAGGGTGGAGAGTTAGATTCTGATCAGGGGCGGACTAGGAAAATCTCAGCCCTCTGGGGCCAAATGATTTCATCCTCCTTATATCCTAAGTGTTCAAAAGTTTCCACCTCAAATGGAGTTCTGGTTTTTCGAGACTAGGTGCCGCTGCTGGGATCATTATCATCACGAGGAAGCATTTATTTAGAGCCAGTGTGTGCAAATTGGATGCTCTACAAAATTAGGCAACCACACCATGCCCACTAATGGCTTAGCG